GGCTTTTCAAAGACAGACTGAACAAAGTCGTGTCTTTGGTTTTTATAAACTACCGCTACGTCGTCTTTGTTTATTATATAACATCTCTGGTAATGAATCATTCCAGCTGCGTTAGCCGCTCATTCATCAAGACTGGAGTCTGCACTCCCGTCAAAATATGATTAGGTCTAATACCCTCTGTCTAGTAATGAGCTTTGACCTTCTTGTTCTTGTGCTCTCTCTCTGCTCTCCCACTGCCAGCCACTTTAAATGTGTGTGTGTGAGTCAGACTCAGAGGTTGGGATATGCCTATAGGACACACCCTGTAGTGGCTGAATGCAGGCTACTGCATGTTTATGAGCTCACAGGCCCTGGCAAGTACACTTTGATATTACATAGTCAGCGCAGGCCTAACTAATGAATTTTAATGGCGTATTATCTGTCTTTGGACAGGTTTGCGATGGTCCCTTCTTTATCACCGGGTGACAGAAACCGTAGTGGATGCTGAGCAGCTTTCACACATTCTTTCCTAATATACACTCAGGCTCCACCACACCGAGAGCGGCGGCGGCGGCGGACAACTTTCACAGATTTCTTTCCATCCCCTCGTTTTTTGGATTAGGCAGCCCTTCTCCGATGCCTCCTCTATCTGTTGGCTTCGGCTTCCAGGAGCTATCTGTGTTGCAGATGGGCCTTTTAGCCTCAGCTGGCTGTGGTCGCCGTCGCTGCAGAAGAGCAGCGAGCTGCCAGGCTATAGGATTAGAGGAAGGGAGAGGGAGAGAGAGGGAGAGAGAGAGCCCGATTTGCTTTGCGGCATCTTAGTTACTCTGTCTAATTAAAAAGGCTGTCTGGAGACAGAGTGTCTCTAGGCGTCACCCAGCCCAGATACGGCTCATGGCGGGACCAGACCAGTGCTTAATGGTGCTGGATGTCATCTTGCCCTGCCTGGTGTGGAAGCCCTGGACCCAAACCCACCGGCCTTTATTTTACCTTCTTCTTTTCTTTCTCTTCCTCCCTCCCCCACCTCCACCTTTTCTCTTTTCTCTCTGTTTGCCTTTGCTGTAAAGGGATCTTCTTTTAAAACTTAGTCCAGAATGCCCTTGTGTGTGTGAGATGATTGAAGCGAGCAATATTGCAGAGTCACCACACACACACACACACACACACACACACAGATGGGTGGGTTGAGGTGTATGCGCTGGAGCAGGAGCACAGCAATAAAGAATCTGTAGATGATCCTGCAGCTGATATAGATGTAGCAGAGCAGACCTGAGGCGATGAAGCCCCGGCTCATACACACTTAATCTGAAATATAGATGGCCTCTAAAACCAACCCAGAAAACACACGGTCCGGCCGACGCGGCGGTAAACACGCCACGGTTAGAATTCATCTCTCTGCATGTCCGTCCATCCCAGAAGCATCTCCGAGCGTGGATCAAATTTTGCGACTCTTAATAATAGATGTGTTTGCTGTAAATATTTCATGGTCGGCTGACTGAAAACACATGCCAGTCAGAGATATGGAGGTAGAGCGAAGGAGGAGGGAGGAGCAGGGAGGGGATGAGGGAGTGACTGAGCGGTAAAGAAAAGAGAGAGAGAGAGAGTGAAATGTGATAGGCAGGATTTTAACCCCCTCGCTCTGGCAGCATGAGGACTGCAGCCGCCAGTGAGGAGAATATATGTTAAAGCCATCTCCTCTACAATCCCACAGGGCTCTCAGGATTCGACAGGAGGACAGGAGGGTTTGGTTGCCCCGCCCTTTTCAGCCTTCCCCCCTCCACCCCCTCCTCAGAACGGCCTACCGGGAGCAGACTTCGGTCCTGGGGCCATGTTTGGCGCCGGGGGCCAAGGCACGGCGGAGGTAGGGGCCGGCGCTAACGGAGCCGCCGCCGCCGCCACCGGCAGCAACAACAACGTAAGCACAGCGAGGAAGCCTTGAAACTGGTTGTAGAGGGGTTTAGAGAGTAGGATGGAGGATTCTTCTCTCCTTTTCTTTTTGATTATTTTTTTTTGCATTAAATAAAACTTCATGTATCCTACACTTGTTTTTATTTACAGTCGTCCTCTAATTTATTCTCCAATTAAAGAAGGAAAAGTCGCTGAAATAAGTTAAAATTGACAAAAGTAATAATAAATAAAAAATGTATGAAAATCATGACATTGGTTTTGAATTGTGGTTCAACAGAAATATTATTAATTCAAAAAAAAACAAAAAAACAAGCATGATGGGACCCGTAAACTAATATTTTCTTGAACAACCTTTTGAGCCAATCACTGCCATCAGGTGCTCTCATTATTTTTTTTAATTATTCTTTTCAACCAAAATTCAAAAGCAACGCCTTATTTTACCAAATTGTAATTTAGCAAATTTTTATTTATTATTACTTTTTTCAGTTTCTAGTTTTTTGAGTGTGAATTTTGCTTTTCTTTAATGGAAGCGTTTGAATAAATCTGAGGACGACGGTAGAAGATTTTCCTGTAGGATCACATTTTTAGTTTTTTTCATGCAGCTACTTTTGCACAGATTTCTATATAAACTTTCCACACACGGCACCATCATGACGTTAAAATGTTTATGAATAAAGCCCTACAGAACATAATGAGGGCGTCTCAGATAGAACGATCGGCAACCTGACGTTACACAACAACATCTGAGACGGCGCCTGTAAAAATCCAGAACCGTACGTGATTTTAAATTTGGCTGCCGTCCCCGTCGATGTGATGGACCCTGGGGGGTTAATTCCTGCTGCAGAGCCACGTGAAGGTTGAAGAAAACAGCGAGCATGCTCCTGGTGCTGACGGTCTCGCCTGGTTTTGGGCCTGCAGTTTCTTCTTTTTCGTAGATTTTTCTGCCTGGAAATCAAGACACTTGCTGGTTTAGTCCTAACTTGACATATAAAGGTATCCCAAAAGTCCTTGAGCGAGACAAACTACGACTTCTTTTTCCCTATTTGGGTGTTTTGTGGTCGTGCGTATAAAAACGCAGCCCTGATTTGGACATCGATACCATGGCAACCAGCGAGGCTTTGAAGCTTCAAGGCTTTCGGGTTAGCCCTAAACACAACGACATTACCGTCAGCCTCGGCCAGACTTTAGCGCTAATTAGCAAATGTTAGAACACGAGCAGCCAAAACCGGTGAAGTTTAACGTGAGCGCGCTGTTTCTGCTCTTAATACGGCCTCGCTCGCCGCGGCTGCACGGAAAATAATGAAACGGTGTTGCTCAGTCATCCGTCTCATGCTCGTCTGACGGAGCAGACGCACTTCTGTTTCAATCTGCTGGGCGCTGGCTGTGCACACGCCGCTTTTATTCCCGCTATACGTGTTTAAATGCAAAATGCAGACGGATGCATGCGTGTTTAGGACTGTACACCGTATTGTTGCTGTTTAACATGAATTCAGTGACTATTTTTAATTATTTAGGTGTTTATTTCTTCTATGTGATGATATCAAGACTTGTAGAAGACATAAAGCAGATCTTTCACCCATTGGCTGACCTCCGCTCCGCCTCTCTCGCCTTCCTTCTCCCCCAGGTGAAGGCGGAGGAGACGTCTCAGGGCGAGGCGGGCGTACAGTGCGGTACGGGAGGGACCGGAGCAGGAGGCTCCGCCGGAGACTCCGCGGAGGCCAAAGGGACCCCCAAACGCCTCCACGTCTCAAACATCCCCTTCCGCTTCCGGGACCCCGACCTCAGGCAGATGTTTGGGGTAAGAATCTAGGAATGTGCTGCTGGGGAGGGGGGGGGATCAATAAATCAGTCTAGACTTGCCGGGTCCTTCGCAGGAGGGCTGCCTCCCCGCTCCCCGGGGGTCGGGGTGCACAAAGGAGTCAAAGAACGACACTCAGGGCGTTCTCTGGTAGCTCGAGGGGGTAAACGGCTATGTGTGTCAGTGTGTTAGCGAGAGTGGCGAAGTGGGAGGAAAAAAAAATGGGACAGAGCAGAGTTCAAGGCAAAGGAAGGAGCAGAAAACACATTAAAACGTGGGCAGTTGTCTTCTGTGTAACAGCGACCCCTAGTGCTGAGTGGCTGTAACTCACACCAGCGTCTTGACTTTGCAGTAAAGCCATCCTGAAAGACTGAGGTCACAACATTTACCGACTGATTTGTTTGTGCTTTTGCTAATTTATCCCCTCGACTTTTTTCTTCGCAGCAATTCGGGAAGATTCTGGACGTAGAGATTATTTTCAATGAAAGGGGCTCAAAGGTAAGTGCACGTTTAATTCCTTCTGTGAGCCCTCGTGATGCCACAATGGGAGATCCTCCTCCTCCTAAACAATGTCAGAATGCACCCTGAGGTCCGGGGGATTCACAGACCTCTCCACAAACCCCCCGTACACAACCTGCCCCTCTAACCTCTGCCGTGTACCACAGGGTTTTGGCTTTGTGACATTTGAGAACAGCGCAGACGCAGAGAAAGCCAGAGAAAAGCTCCACGGCACGCTGGTGGAAGGTCGCAAGATTGAGGTAATTTTCCTCTCACTCACTCCCTCGCTCTCTGCCTTCTTCCTCCTCCTCCTCCTCCTCTTCTGTCTTCTCACTGTACTCCCATCGTAACTCTGCTTGATCACTGACTGCTAGCTAGCTCCCATCCTCCCTGTAGTGATGTGCTCTGATGCAGCCCACTGGTGTCCCACTCCCTGGTCCTCTGCAATATGTTTTTCATTTGAAATCCAAAAAAGACTTGTTTCCTACTTTATTGTTTTGGTGTTTTTTTTTTGGTGGGAATGATTGGGGGGTGCAAGAACACTACATAAGGCATGCTGGGTACTTTTCCTCTGCAGCATTTCCCCCTCCCCCACCCCCCACTCCCCTCCACATTAACCTATTGCCTCTTCACCTTTTTGTTTTTTTTCCACTGACGCACAACTCGTAGCCACACTGATGTTACGACTTCTCAACAATTGGAATGATGTTTGTGTATATCTAGCTGGCACCGGAGGGCACGAGAGGAACGCAGTGAAAGGATGATGCATGGCAGATTGCTGTCAAATGCCCTTATTTTCTTCCCTAGCGTAGAAATCCTTTTGTGTTCCCCTCTCCCGGTGCTGTGGCTAAGTGGTTGTGACAGCTTATTGCTCCTGACGCAAAGAGCAGCATGCTGGGAATCACAGCGACACTGACGCATGTTCACTTTATGGAAGTCTGGGTCCTTCTCCAATCAACTGTACATTTGAGTTTTTTTGTGTCTGTGTGCTTTGAGGTTGTTTGTTTTTAATGTTGTTGTTTAACTGAAGCATGTGCTGATTTTTTGAAAGCAGTTTTTTAAATTTTATTTTAATTGGGGTTTCAGCCAGCTATCTGTGTTAGATCACTTGACTTCAGCCACCGTAAGCCAGGATCTGTGCATGGGCTTACTGTGGTGATTTCCTTGTGGTGTGTGTGGGTGTGTGTGCGAGTCAGTTCCTGCATGATGGATGAGGCTGGACCCTTTTATTTCCGTTACTCTCAGTTGCTGCCGCTGCTGCAGTGTGGTGGTTGAGAATGAAAGGCAGCCGCCTGCATCCACCGGTACGACCATACTCCCTCCCTCCTCCTCCGCCACCTCCACCTTCAGTCAATCAGCAAGCTGAATGGATACTGATGGAGCCCCTGCATCAGTTTTGGTTTCGACAACCTGTAGTCGTCCCCCCGCCCCCCCGGCATTGCTTTTTAACCTGACTCTTGTGTTTCTTCTCCCAAGTTCTGCATGATGTGGAGTCACTTCTAACGAGCGGCGAGGCGCTGTTGTAGTCACTGTGCATGCTGTACTCCAGTAGCGGTGGTGGTGGTCCGTAGCGAGTCACGTACCGGCTGCATGGTGGGCCAGCAGCAGGCGTCTGCACAGTGTGTGTGTGTGTCTTCCTGTCTGTTTATGGTGCATGGGCTTGGAGTGACAAAAGACTGGCGCGGGACGAAACCGTGGATTTGTGTTTACGCATTCCTTCCAGCCAAGGAGAAAAGGGCCGGACATTTCTATTTGAGGCAATGCTCTGTGGCAGTTCTCCTTTCATGTAGATGTTTGCTGCAGTAACTCTCGGCTTCAGCTGGTCGTATGATTTCAGAGTTTGCTGAACCCTGTTGTCAAGAGACGTCTTTATTATCATTCAGAAACTCTGAAATATGGGCCCCAAGGCTTAACACTGTTGTATTTTCACCGTTGTTGCCGTCGTCGTTGTGTGTGACTCTACAGTTTGCCGCTGTCCACTGGCATGGGTTGAGCCGGCGTAGCCTCGGCGTGCATGGTCGATATCTGAATCGTGGAACTCAGTAACGGCTGGATGTGTTTTCTCTTGCATGTTAATCCTGTATGGCTATTTTGTTGGATTAGTTCTGGTGATGGGACTGTTATGATTTCGTTCAGTTAGCATGTGATCAGCTGAGCGCCTCGTGCTCTTGTTTGTCTTACTGGGGAAAAAAAAAAAAAAAAAGGCGGAATAGCCGAATCCATGGACTGATTTTGGGAATGCTGTACTTTTTGTTTTCTTCCATTCTTGGTGCATGCCGTCGGACGTCAGGAGTTTGTTTTGATGCCGGCTAGCGTGCATGCGTGCAGCCTATGAGAACAGAAGGAGAACTTGTTGTACTTAAAGTTTTGCTGTACTTCTCTTTGTCTGGGATAAAACTCTGCGCTTTGAAGAAGTCAGTTTCCTGTACGCTTCCAATGTATCCATGTAAGTGGCCCAACTACAGTTCACTTTGTCTCTACCTGCTTCTCTGTGACTCCATCTCATCGCCATCCGTTCTATATATAGAGTCCTACAGGCCTATATATAGGTGTGACAGTGTGTGTCTTAGTCTGCACTCACCAACATACACACTCCCGTGCATTCCCACCCACCTGCCCACCCACGGCTGTCTCTGTGACTGTATGCCCCGACATAAAGCAGGCCTCACCCATCACCACCCAGTAACACGCTGCCTGTCATTAACTCGTCTTATTGTAGGACGCCTCATGACGCTAATGACAGCCGAACCATTCATACATATGTTTCACTCTAACGCTGAAACTACTGGCTGTACATGAACTAGGGTCCCCGCGTGGTCTCTGTTGCACTCGAGGGTCACTGAGTTCAGGCTGATGCTGTAGAAAGAATTAGAAACAATGCACAGATCTCCACAAAGCACCACTTAAGTTGATATGTAAGGCAGTGCATTAATTATCCTCTTTAATATGTGACCACTAATTTTGGTAATAAATAGATAATTTACAGAAATAACAATGTGCTGCTTTATTGTGAAGGAACGGTCATAACAGGAAGTAGTGCTTTAATAGAAAAAATGTTCAATTTAAACACCAAATAATGAGGCTCTGGTCGGGAGGCTGATACAACAGATGAGCTCTCCTCAGTTAATCCAGTTAGCTTGTCTGATATTCATCATTCATTGAACCCAGAAAGTTCTATTGGGACCAGCCCTACTAGTTATTATAACAACTATGAACAACAATGAACAACTAATGATCCTTCCAGCATCAAGCCCTCCTTGTATCTGGACCTCCGTCTTGACAATCCGACATAAAAGAAGGTTTTACATTTAGTGTCGGGTTATCGAGTCACGACTGTATTTATATGTACACACTCTTATATTGAAGCTCGTTTAGAAAATGATCCCCTCAGTTTTTGGATGAGGTCCTTCTTACTGTCTGGATTCCAGCAGAGAGGCTAAATTGTTGGGAAGGTTTATACGATGATGTTTGTTTGGACGGAGCGTCGTCATCAATCCTGAAACTGACTCATTCCTTCTGAGAGCTACATGAATGAGATCCAGGCGCAGTTTTCCTGACTGTTTATCAATAGTGAAAGTGGAGATGTATGCTGCCCATTACCGCTGTGATGAACTGGAGCAACAGTCGTGATGTATAACAGGAAACTCAATGCTGGCAATAATCTGCATTTCAAACTACAGACACCCACTGCGAACTCGGTTTATTTCACCTCCTCTTACGCTGTAAATCCTGCCCTGGAGAGACCACGTCGGACCCTACAGACCCCCATCCACTAACCCCACCCCCCCCTCCACCCTCGCTGCTCCGAGCTGGTGTGTTTGTGGTCGATCTGTGTCGCTGGAGCGTCAAGGGGAAGTGAAGGCTCCTCCGCAGCGCAGAGTTTTAGTCAGATATCTTTCAACACAATAGCACGGAATAGCTGCGAGTGTGTGTGTGTGTGGTGCAGCTCTGCATGCAAAGTGTGTGTGTGTGTGTGTGTGGGGAGGATGGTGAGTGAGGAGTGTCATCATCACTGCATGGATGTGTGTGGTGAATAAGGGATGAGGAGGACTTGTGGTTCCTGCATGCCCGACCATTCACACCGACCAGAGCTGCTGCTGCTGCCGGGACACAGTCGGCCTTCAAGCTCACCTCAGCCCAAATTTCATGAACATTTTTGGTGGATTTTTTTTGTTTCCCAAGGTTTGATTTAATCTATTTTTTTGTGGATTGAGCTGAAGGCCTACCTGCTCCTTCTTGTCCCATTTCCACAGATGACACCCTCCTCCTCCCTCCTCCTCCTCCCTCCCCGTCACCACACACACAGTTCTGGATCCGACCCGGTCCCTGTTCTGCTGCGGAAACTCTGTGTTGCTGCATGAGTCGCCCCCAGAAATGATTCAGTTTGCTTGAGTTGAAGTTGAAAGAAAAGGGGGACGGAGGGCGGAGGGCGGGCCGGGGCCGGGGCCGGGGCCGGGGAGGCAAGAGAGTTTGCACTTCGCCCTTTTCAACCCTCGATCTTTCTTTGTGTGTCTTCTGCTCCATTCTCTCTCTTCCTTCATTTTTCTTCTCGCCAGTCAAGTTTGTGTCATTTTCAATTTAGTTTCAAATGAATCTGTAGCTGTTTCTCTGATTTCTTTCTTCTTTTTTTTTGCTGTCATCTCTGCCTTTCTTTCATCATCGATCTATTTCTTTTTTTGTTATTTTATTGTTTGACTGTCCTTCTGTATGTTCTTTTTGTGGTGACTGGTAGAAACTGGACATTATCGCCCACGACCTCTTTGTGGCTTAACTTTACCACACAAGGAGTTAACCTAAAATACTTTTTTTTATTTTGGATTAGTCCCAGACAGCGGTACAGCCAACCTGTTTGTGATGGAGGCTGGTGTGAATTTGCTCTTCCTACATTTTCCTTGGAGGTGTTCCAGTTAGTTCGTTATTTTTACGGCTAGTTTCTGTTTTTGTTTATTGAGGGGGTTCAGGCAAGGTTGCCCCATATCTCCATCCTTCTTTACCATGTCTTCTGTTCACTTAGACGGTCGGAGCGTCGATCGAGAAGCTAGCATCCTCTCCTCCTTTTTTCTGCCTCTTTCTTCTTCTTCTTCTTTCTCTCATATTCTGTTCTGAGCTGCTGCTGTTAGGTTTTGTTTTTTTTTACCACATGGGGGGGCAAGGAAGGAAGGAGTGGGCGGGGCGGCGGGGTGGGGCGGGAGGGAGGGGCAACATTTAGGTTTCTTTTGTTACTAGGATTATTTGTTCCTTTATTTATTATATTTTTTCT